GTCTGTCAAATAAATAAATAAAATCTTAAAAAAAAAAAAAGACGAAAGAAAGAAAGAAAGAAAAAGAAAGAAAGAAAGAAAGAAAGAAAGAGAAAGAAAGAAAGAAAGAAAGAAAGAAAGAAAGAAGAAAGGAAGAAAGGAAGGAAGGAAGGAAGGAAGGAAGAAAGATCGGTCCCCAGCGAAGCCTCCCTCCTGGCTGTCCTGAGGAGCATACCAGAGAGGACCTGGGTCTGCCGCCCACATGCTATCCCCCAGAGCCTGAACACCAGGCACCCCAGAAACGTGCAGAACTCCGACCAGAGGGAGAGCGCTCACATCTTGTGGCAGCAAAGGCTGGCTCCCCTGTCAACCGTGGGACAAATATTTCATAGGACACGTTATGATTCACAGGCATGCTGGCGCAACAGCACAGCCTTGTTCCCCACGATGGACCTGAGAGAGGATGACCCGGAGGGGAGGCCTGTCAGCCTAAAACAATCAGCTGGCCGCCTCTTGAGAATCCACAGAAGATGAAGTAGGATCTGAGTAATTCCCCAAACCCTCCGCCTCTCCAGCTATGCGGAGCCTCCTGCTCAACTATTATTTTCACTGTGCCTTGCTGTGAGTTATGATCTGATGTGCGGGTTGGAAAGAAATCTGAAATAAGAAGTGATTTCATACTACAAACATGTTGTGTTGAGTCAAAGCTTCTGGAAGGAAAATACGCCTTTAGCTAAAATATTTGCTATTATTTGAATACCTCCAAATGAAGATGGCTTAAGGCACATGCCACCTGGTTTACAGAAGATGTGGAAGATATACTACGAAAATTAACAACAAGAGAGGAGCCGGTAATGAGGAAAGTAAATAAAGGGTCTAGGAACTAAACAGGTAACCAGCCAACAAATATTTATTGAGCACCTGCTGTGTGCCAGGTACTGAACATTAGAACATGAGGTGAACAGAGCAGATAGAGTCCCTTCTCTCCAGAGCTTACAGTCCGGTTGGGGAGATAGATGCTGTTTAAGTAATTTTATAGATAAACAAGCACCAGGAAGGAAAAACAAAAATAAGAAGGGGATCTTATTAGCTGGGGGGCTTAGGGACCACCTCCCTGAAAATTTGTCCTATTTAAGCTGAGCCCT